AAATAATATTTCGAATAAATAAATTGCTAAGAATAAAAAAGAGAAGAAAATGATTAAACAGTGTTCATTTGGTATAAGTTTTGGTGTAATGGTTGGAGATTAATTTTAGTTTGGTACAAGATTTGGTGCAAAATAATGCAAATTTTGGTGCAGCGCTGGAGATGGCCTAAGAATGATTTCAGTTTCCCAATTTCAACATTTAATTTCCGAGATTCTTTACAGGAACGTTAAGGAAAAAAATGTGGAATATAAGCTTAGAAAGTATCAAATAAAGAATTAACCCACCGTCAAATGAGCTCAAAATGCAATTAGGGGCTTTTAAAACCCATCCCATATACTAGTATCAAAATTACAAATTATTATGAATAACTAGTGTAAAAAATTGTTTACAGACCTTCCAAAGAAGCCTTTAAAAAACACTTCAAATCAACAATTGCAGCAAGACTAGATTTTGTTTCATGATTTCTAGAAGCCTCCCAAAAGTTTCGCTTCAATTTCATAAGTCCTAGAATTCTTCTCTGTTGAAGTTTGAGAGCTGTTATTTTCCAAGTAAAACTAGGTTCTTCCATTTGAATTGCTCAAAGAATCAGTGGTTGCAAATCTTTCCCTTTCATAAAAAGCCATATCTTCGATTAGATCATAATAAATGGTAACGTGTTCCTTAGGGTTTCATATTGTCAAATCGAGCGCCAAATTTTTGTAGGGTTATGTCATCGAGAGTGAATTCAGTGAGGGAGTAGAATTTGACGGCAAAATTAGCAAACAGAAGAAGATAATAAGGCCCGAGATGAACAAAATGGTTAAGATTATATCCATTTTAGTACATATATAATATGTTTTATTATTATTATTATTATTATTATTATTATTATTATTATTATTATTATTATCATAGTTTAACACTTGATTTGTGAATTTTTTTTTACAAGTTTTTTGATTTCGTATTTGTATTTTTATATGATTATATTTATGTATTTTTCCCTATTTTGATTTTAATTAAATTTTGGGTATGTTCTGTTGGATTGGGCTTTAAATCTGTGTTTGGGCTGGGGTAGGTTTGAGTTTGGGTTGGTATTATGGCTGTGGGTTTGTGTGAGTCGAGCTTGGATCTAGATTGCTAGACCTAAAAATCACGCCTTTGGTCGGCAAAGGATCGATCATAATTCCGTACGGAACATCACAATAATCAGTCCAATCCATTTTTCATAAAAAACAACTTCACTAGCAACCTCACTCTATGATGGATCAAACTCTAGAAACATCGAATCAAAATCGATGCAACCACTG